GGCTTGAAGACATGTAGTAGGAGGCCTCCGCCTGTAGCCAGGCCGATTTGGGTACCTGCTGTGGGCGGCAAAGGGCTTGTTTCTGTGCGGACTGACATGGCCCGGGACCGCATCGGCCGCGTCACTGTCGCCATCCACCGTCCGCGGGGCCTGGGGCCTGGGAGCGACACGCGAGGAGACCGGTGAGGACGTGGTGGGGCGCGAGGGCGCGTGGGACCTGGCGGCGAGGGCGTCGTGGCCGTCCTTCCCGCCCCGGGGGAGCGGGGGCCCGGGCTGGGGCTCGGTGGGCAGCAGCCGGGATGCGCCCCCGTGGGGTGCGGCCTCCGAGTGGGGCGCCCTCCGCGCGGGCAGGGCCGGCCTGGCGCCCTGGAGCGCGGGGCCGCGGGGGCGCGCGCTGGAGGCGGGGTGGCGGCCGGGCCCCAGGGCTGGCCGGGCGGGCGCGCTCTCGGGCCGCAGGCGCTCGGAGGAGGCGTCTTTGGGGTCCAGGGAGCCTGTGGCCGGCTCTGCCTCCTCTCCGTCCAGCGAGTCGTTGTCCACAGAGCTGGACGGCAGGTGGGCCGGGCGTCGAGAGCTGCCCGCGGTGGGCGTGTGAGGGACCCACGGGGATGCCCCTCGCGGGTGGGAGGGCGGCGAGGAGCCGGGCTTGTCCACGCCTTCCTGTCGGGGCAGCACTGGCGCTCGGACTCTCCCTGGAGTCCGTCCAGCAAGGCCGGGGTGGACGGGTCTGCCCGGCGGCCTGGGCTGGCGCTGCTGGTCCTGGGTCTCAGAGGGCGAGGTCGGGGGATCCCCTTGGGGGTCCAGTTCCTCCGCGTCCGTGAGCTCTGCCGCCTGGGGTTTCCTGGGCACCCCACCGTTGGCCGGTATTTTGTTCTTCAAGTCAGGAGGGTGCTTGGCATGTCTGCCTTGGGGAGAAACGGGCAGGTGGGCGTGCTTCGAGGGAGCTGCGGCCCTGGGAGGCGAGGCAGGCTGCGCGGTTTCTTGCTTCCAGTTCTCCATCGCGCCTGTTTTCTGCCGGGCATCCGGCTCACTGGTCCTGCCTGGAATAGATGGGAAAGAATTTGCCATCAAAGACGAAATTCAAAAGCTTTGCAATACAAAGTGAGTGTTAAAGGTGGCAGTGGAGGCGTTTCAGAGGAAATTGTAACTGACAAGTTCTCATTCTTAAGACCGTTGGACACTTCTCAATTACAGCCATCGCGTTGAAAGCCCTCTTTTGCTTTAAGCCATAGATACAGCTCTAAACAATGTGTGAGAGAATTTCTATGAATGCAGTTAGGTTAGTCACAGCTTAGTATTTAAAGAATTCTCAAATGAGTACTTTGACGTCATCCATTGGTTTTGCAAAGGCAAGATCTTACATGGGCTTTTGTAATACGGTAAAACGAATTCTCGGTATGTTACAAATGCGCCATAGCCCTTCTTGACAATGTAGGCAAGAAATTTATAGGGACCTGGTATGAAATGTTAAATGACCTCTACACACAAAGGCGTGGGGATGTGTTGCATGCCTGGGAAGTGACGGGCGAGCAACACGTTTGTAATTTTTGAGCATTACAAAGAGTGCCTGTCCCCCCTAACATGTCCTTACTTGCTTTCTCCTTCTCTATTAAAATCTCTTTAGTAATAAATACATTTGTCATTCCAAAATAGAGCCAAAAATAAAGACTCCTGAGGTAGGCAGCACATTAAGTGCGCCCTATGCTTTCCCTTTTCTTGCGAGCAGAACTGAAGGAGGAAAGGGGTGCTGTCAGGGCTGGGAATCTGTATAGCAAAGGGGAATCCAGCCGGGAGCAGACATCTATTTCATTTGCTTCCAAGACAGACTGTGTGACTTTGGGGTGCCCTGGGGATCCTCACAGTACATCATGGAGGAGAGAGCCACCAATATGGTGTGAATGGGGGAGGCAGACAGGAGTCACCATCCAGAACCAGTCCGCTCCATTTCTGGGTTTCATTAACTTGCTTGGTTCTGATCCCGATCAGATAAACAAGGTACTGAAGTTCTTCTGAGTCAAGCTGCACTCCCGAGTAATGCAATGCAAACTACGCATTGCAAATGCTATTTGGAAATTGAAGAGAGCTGACAACTAACAGCGCCACATTACACTTGTAAAAATGCTCTTCCCCTGTCATCATAACCCCCAGTTACAGTGATATAAGATTAATCACAAAACTCATACTTTCATGTTTGTGTAATATCGTAATAGTGATTGATGTTATTAGCAATCAATAACATTTTAGTCTTTGGTATGACTACTTTCTAAAGGGACTATCAAACGTTCTATAAATCACAGTGCAAACTTAGCCTAAAAAAATCATGTAAACCCAAGCAAGAGCCATGATTCATAAGGAATGCAATGCATGAAGGAAAAAGAGGGAAGAGACACACGCAATGCTTACTTGTTGGCATAGCGACGATGAAGGCTTTGGAGTGAGGCCCCGATCCTCTCCTGTTGGCCGCCCGGATTTTGAACAGATAGCGCTCCCCAGGCTGCAGGCCGTCCACGAGGGCAGAGGTGGTCTCTCCGGGGAAGGTGAGGGACTTTGCTCCGAAGGGCTTGAGCGCGGGGGCGTAGGAGAGAATGTACTCTGAAATGATTGGTAGACGGTTGGAAGGAGGACAATGAAAACAGTGCTGTGTCCCGAAGATGGACTGTAGGGGCAGGATGGACTGGAGCGCGCGTCACTAGGTGAATGGACTGTAGGGGCAGGATGGACTGGAGCGCGCGTCACTGGGTGAATGGACTGTAGGGCGGGATGGACTGGAGCGCGCGTCACTGGGTGAATGGACTGTAGGGCGGGATGGACTGGAGCGCGCGTCACTAGGTGAATGGACTGTAGGGCGGGATGGACTGGAGCGCGCGTCACTAGGTGAATGGACTGTAGGGCGGGATGGACTGGAGCGGGCGTCACTAGGTGAATGGACTGTAGGGGCAGGATGGACTGGAGCGCGCGTCACTGGGTGAATGGACTGTAGGGGCAGGATGGACTGGAGCGCGCGTCACTAGGTGAATGGACTGTAGGGCGGGATGGACTGGAGCGCGCGTCACTGGGTGAATGGACCGACAAGCACGCCAGGGCAAGTCGGAGCATAAAGGCACGGGCAAGGGGTACTGTTCGCCCGGCTGCGGGACAGACTACCAATTAATGAGCTGGCGTTGCCCATTCTCAGGACATTCAGTGTAGGGAACCCAAGAGGCCAGTCTTCATACAGTTTACAAAAGACATTTATGCCGTGTTTGGGTTTTCTATCCATCGTAGTTCTATGCTAATTTATTATGACAGAATTATCTCCTGAGTGGAAGAAGCTGTGGGAAAAGAAATGACAGCTTCTAGGAACTGATTCTGAATAGCTGCTGACATCTCCAAGGCTTCCAATGAATTCATCTGGGCAATTCTGGTTTAGTTTAAGCCAGTTAAATTTCATATTTGGAATATAATTTTACCTTTGTATGGATTATAAAAGCTCTGAATATATGCAGATAAGGATAGTTCACAGTATTTAAAACTGTAAGGAAAAGGTGCTAAGTAACAGATTTATGCATTATCTAATGTTTCTATCTTCAATTGGCTACATCTATAAGCATTTAATGCCCTTTATTGGACATCATAGCAAATTCAGTCCAAGGATCTCATATATCTCTATGCTTATATGGAAATACTGTCCCATAAGGAAACCATGTTTTAAAGCACAATTTTCACACTCAACTAAAAACTGCCATGCCTGTTTCCTCCCAGTGAACTCAAGATTCACAAAACTTATCAAATTAATATGACTGGGAGCTAACAAAAAACTGAATTACAGAAAAACCAAGCAATTGTCATACTTCCTATGGAGGCATGTAAGAGCTTTTCTTTTACTGAAGATCTAATCTTTAAAAAGTATTTTTTAAAGCATTTGTAGGACAAAAAGAAGTGTTCTTGTTGAAAATGAATAAACTGGTCATTTGTGGTGGTTAAAAGTCAAAATTAAAAGAATGCCTGTCTATGAAATTTGGTAATTCAGATATTTTTGTTTGTTTGTTTTATTGATTTTATTTATTTTTTTAATTTTGTTTTATTGCTTAAAGTATTACTAAGAGTATTACATATGTCTCCTTTTTAATTCAGATATTTTTATGGATTCACTTCATTTGGAAAAAAGTTAACCATGTCAAATTCTATTGTGTTTTATATTTCTCATACATAAAAAATGTCCTGGTATAATTTTGAATTTTCAATCCCACTACCACACCTTTATGAAGGTCTGTGAGTTCTTTTGGATATAACTCAGCAGCTATTATTATTTCTGGTAATATTGAATTGACTACCAGGGAGCTTCTTTCACCAGAGAGAGAAGTATAAACCAAGACGTGGAAGAGGGAAAGAAAATAAAAGTAGCATGGTAATAATGTCACGAAAGGAGCAATGATTGATGTTTTTATAACTAAAAAGAGTAGTCTGCCAAAAACTGTCCTTATTCACTTCCCAGCATTACAACAATACTTAGTCCAGAAGGAGCCAATGTTCAAACTTTTATAAAAAGAATTATTTAAAAGGGCCAACTAAATATTTCTTCTCTTCATTTGTTTCTAATTTATTCCACTAGAGAAAAAATGAGTAAGAATAGTACAATATTTTCTTCTTAAAAAAACTAGAAAGTGGGAAAGCCTTAAGTTTAGAGAAGACTATCTCATGTCTACCTTCCTTCTATTGTCCCATGACAGATCAACAAAGATAACGTACAGTTGTAAACAAAAGAGAACAAGTTATTTATTTCAGTTAAGAGATTCTCAAGGAAGATTGGTGGTAATTTGCTGGATTTCTTTAAGCTTACACAAACTTTTCATAGTTTCTGGACACGAAGTTTCATAGTTTCTGAAGACTTAAATTTGTCTTCCAAGATTGTGTAACAATAAAAAGTGCCCTTAGGGTACATTTGTATAAGTGATGTCAAGGGAAAAGTTCAGTACACCCCTTCACAATATCTCCTACAGACTTCTGGAAGGTCCTTGGATGTTTTTACATTGAAAAGAAAAGATTTGTGCTTCTATTTAGTATTCTCAACAGACACTTTTGAATTTAACTATTCGTTAATATTTTACCCTATTTTTAAATCTACAGTATTATTTATTATTTTAAGGACATATTTTCCTCAACTCCCCCAAAGTAATTAATTTTAAAAGCTGACAAATAGGGGGCGGGGGGAATTTCCATTTGATTTTCATACTTGAGTTCTCAATCCCATTAAAAAGATTTTTGGTCCCATTCAAGACACTCATGGTCCATGGGGTTCCTGCTCACTCCTACTTTCCGGGATTTTACTGGCACAATGAAAAGACCCAAAACATGAAAAACCAGGGTCATTTGTGAGGGTAAAGGTTAGGATGTCACTCCCATACAATCAAACACAGAAAACCCCCTCCTGATAGCAGGACCCAGACCCTTGCGCATACAGAAGGTGGAAGTCACCTTCGTGACTCCCTGGATCTCACCGACAATGAAAAAGCCCTGAGTGAAATCTCCTCGTCCGTTGGGTTAGCACCGCATAGACGTGTGTTGCTCCCCTATTCCTAGTGCAGCCACCAGGCCTGTGATTAGAACCGGTGCTTCTCAGAGTCAATACCGTGTCTGGGGGATTTCACTCCCACGTGCACCTCGTGCCCTCAGTCGCCAGGTTCCTACCTTTCACTTTGCCCTCAGTCTCAGGCAGCGCGTCCCAAGCTACAGTGACAGCTGTGGTTTTGCCATTGACTGGCCAGACTTTTAAGTTCTCCGGAGCCGTCGTAGGAGCTGCAAAAGGAAGGTCACGGGTCCAAGGTTTGAAAACACACTTGTGCATCTTCTAAAGTAAACGGCACGGGGTCCTCACATGCACAGTTTATTGCAGAGCCATCTGGTAACTTTTATCGTAATGAGAGAAGATTCTACATTCGCTCTCATGTGACAGGGTGATTTCTGTCAGTTCCACCAACCAGAGAGTGAGCTTAGACCAGTGATGGCGAACCTTTTGAGCTCGGCGTGTCAGCATTTTGAAAAACCCTAACTTAACTCTGGTGCTGTGTCACATATAGAAATTTTTTGATATTTGCAACCATAGTAACACAAAGACTTATATTTTTGATATTTATTTTATATATTTAAATGCCATTTAACAAAGAAAAATCAACCAAAAAAATGAGTTCGAGTGTCACCTCTGACACGCATGTTATAGGTTCGCCATCACTGGCTTAGACAGAGCTAGCGAAATGCTTTCCGGAATTTGGAATTTCTCTCATTGCTCAATATTGAAATATTCCAAGAAGATTAAAATCAAGGCTTTTATAACGTAAAGACACAGTTTAAAAAGACATAATTATAACTTTGGATCCAGAACAAAATTCTCCCTAGTTCCTCTGGCCCCAGACTCAAATACAACCTCAGCCTCCAGAAAGTCATCCCCCTACACAGCAAGGCCACGGACGGCTCCCGCGTCCACGCGGACAGCGGTGGGTCAGTGCCCCACACTGGGATGTGAGGTGCTGTGCGTGTCAGGATAACAAGCTCAGCCAGCGGAGGATGGGACATGGACCCCAGGAAATCGTTCCCTAGCTTCTCAGTGTTCAGATGTAGACACACCACCAGGATTTAGGGTTGATTTCGCTTCTTACAATACCCCTGCTGGCTGAAAGCATCTTTGGATCTTACTTTAGGGGAATTCCCAAACTGACCATCCCCAAACCATTGTGATACAGACCGGATTCCGGGGTCCTCTGGAAGACGGAGGTACTCCACTTGCCGTCTCTGTCCCCCTGTGAGATGCGGACTGCGAATTCATACATGGTGTCGGGGAGCAGGCCCTCGATCAGCACGCGCCGGTTGGAGCCCTGCCGGTAATCCCAGCGGGCCAGTTCCCCCTTCTCTCGGTAGCGCACCGTGTACTGCCTGTAAGGAGACACAGGCAGCGTGCACCGGGCCCGTTCTCTGCCGCGGAACACGGACTCCTGATGCTCTTCCTGCCCCGGAAACGATGACTTGGGGAGGGAAACAGGGAAATCAGAGCACAAAGACCTACACTTTGGACTATGTTTGGGGCTCAAACGTGAGAAGGTTCTAAAGCAGACAGGGAAGATGACTCTTCAAGACTGGAAACTCATACTGCTCAAAGCTGAAGCAGAGATTCAGAAGGTGGGGGGGGGGGAGGTGGTGGCTTTGATGAGGCATGTGCCTTATCAGGGGTGTGTGTGCACGTGTGTGTGTGCGTGTTTGTGCACGTGTGCAGTGTGGAGAGGGCTAGGGAATAATCAGTAGCGACATAACTCAGTAGCTATAACTCAGCGACTGGAGACCTGGCCCAAGGTAGCTTGGCTTTCCAGAAAAGAAAGACAAAAAGACTCACTTTATGCCAAATCAGGCATGTTTCCCCGAGGTGAAGGGGGAGGCAGCATGGGGTCTTGAGTAAACTTATTACCATGAGAAGGAACAACAGTGTGTCACAGGCAGAGCAGGATGGAGGAGCTGATGAAAAGACCTCGAGTATGAGCTTGTCATGGACAGAAACACGTGTGAGCGAGCATTCCCCAGCCCCAGAGGGAAGGCACGCCAGCTCGGGGCGCTGCCACGGATCTTTGTGGACGCTGTGCAGTAGGAAGCACTTGGTGCATGAAATGCGCTGTCATTAGGGCAGTTACTGAGGCAGGACAACACTTCCGGTGCAGACAGCACACCAGCGAACACGGAAAACTCAGCCCTCTTTGTTCTCATCATGATGCCGGACATCAGGGCCCCCGGGAGCCAGGAGCTGTTCATGTTGAGGAGGCCAAGGGCAGGGGGAGCGTCACTATGAACCGTGAGAGAGTCCTAGGAGCCTCAGAGGTCTTTCCAGGAAGCAGGTGTCTTATTTCACTAGCAGTCAGAGGCAGAAACCCAGCTAACTCAAATGACAGTGTATATAGTGCATGTATTTCTCAGCATTATGCCTCATTCGTTTTTTAAAGTACATTCACTTTTCCTGGTTGCAGACAGGTTCAAAGATTAATACGTAACGACAAGCCACCAAATCTGTGGCTGTCTCTTCGCTGTATAAACTAGGAAGTCACTTGACACAGCAGCTTTTGGTGACCATGTCAATCTCTCACTAACTGGAACTGGTGTTCCCCAGTGGCCTTTTTAACACAAAAGTTCATTTAACTTTATGGTTGATTTTCTTCTATTGCTATTGCAAACTGATATCAAAATCAGAATAGCACCACGTCGTGGCTTGAGAAAAAATACATTCACCTGCTATGCACAGTGAGCTACACACGAGGCAGGGTGGTGCTTGGAGATGTCTAAAGAGGAACTGCTGGGCGCGAGGGTTAGACCAATGCCCACCACTCTCATGAGAGCCTTCCTGCTGCCACTCTTCACGGGTAACAGAAGGAGGGTCAGGCTCCTCCTCAGATGGGCCCGTAGCTTCTGCACGTGAATAGATCATTAATGCCCGGCCAGTGTGGCTCAGTGGTTGAGCATCGACCTATGAACCAGGTCACGGTTCAATTCCCAGCCAGGGCACATGCCCCGGTTGCAGTCTCAGTCCCCAGTAGGGGGTGTGCAGGAGGCAGCCGATCAATGATTCTCTCTCATCATTGATGTTTGTATCTCTCTCTCCCTCTCCCTTCCTCTCTGAAATCAATAAAAACATACATTTTATAAAACAGAGAATTGGTAAGGCATGGCAAAGCAAATGGGGGCAAAGAGAGAAATAGGATCTAGGACATTTGCAGACACAGGATAAGGCGGAGAAGGTGAGATGTGAGGTCCCGCCCTGTGCATCACACACGAGGTAGCATGTGGCCTGTGGGGAATGTGTGGCCACGCTCAAGATTAGCTGCATGGCCACAGGACAGTCTATTGTCCAGTCACAAAAAACACCAGCATGCCAATATGTCAGAAAATAAAATCCCTCAAGTAAATACATGTCTGTGTGGGGCCACAAAACCCACATCTCTCATGCATAAGAGAAAGACAAAAGTCAGGAAAGTACCTGGACGCAACAACTTTCTTCTGCTTCTCCACGACAGGGTCCACCCAGGCTACAAGCACAGACTGGGATGACATCACCCGGACACTGATGTCCTCAGGGACGTCCAGCTCCTCCTCCTCTGAAATGACAGTGGGCGCGTGGGAAGGCTGTAGGCTCCACCCTGGTTCCTCTAGCCCCCGAGTTTATGTTCACCTGGGGCAGTAAATCGCTTATGCGTGATGTAGATGGAATGAAGTGAATAGGAAGTTAAGCAATGATTTGATTGGTCGCTGCAGAGAAACCTGACTCTCCACTCTTGCCCTTCTCAAGTGCAGTCTAAGATACGGGCCGTTCACTTGCAAACTGCCCAGCCCAATGGACATAAAGCACAAAAGGGAGGCTGTGCCTTGGTCAGAGATACACCCAGTAACTCAGTGTTTCCTCAACATACACTGTAAGTTCCCGGGAAATAATACAGTTCTTACAGGAAGCAAAACTTTAAGGGAAGAAAAGCTCGGGGAAGCATTGCCTCGGCGATTGTGGCGTGAAGCGAAAATCCTGGTGCAAAAAACAGCGTGAATCACACGAGGCTCCGGGTCCTCACATTTCAGAGCATGCGGTGCCAAGGCAAATGAACAGGTAGATTCGGTACAAAAGGGAATTCAGCCTGCGATTTCTGATAGAATACGTCACAGACACAAGGCTCACAGTTCTGTTTAATCACTAACCAACTGAAACTCAAAAGATGTCTTCAGTTTTGCTTTTGAGTCTCTTAGGCGTTTGGGGTGTTTTTTTGTTCTGTTTTTTGTGGCTTTAACTACAAGTAGGAAAAGGTGGAAATATTTAGCCTGTTAGGAAACTGATATAGTGACTTCTTGGAGAGCAGCAACTAATGACTAATAAAGGTGAAACATCCTGTATGTGGGCCTTCTGTATACAATGTAAAAATTATAATATAACATTATGTTATATAATAACATATTGTGTAATATAAAATTATAATTAACAAATAAGTTGCAAGTTCATGAAAATAATTATGCTATAGGTTACCTCTTTAAGTAAGACCCAGGAACCAGAAAAGGTATATGTAATTTGTTAACACGAGTACTATAAAAAAAAATCTGTGGACAAATGTGGAAAAAATATCTTAGATCAGGCTAGCACACTGATGGCGAACCTTGTGAGCTCGGCGTGTCAGCATTTTGAAAAACTCTAACTTAACTCTGGTGCCGAGTCACATATAGAAATTTTTTGATATTTGCAACCATAGTAAAACAAAGACTTATATTTTTGATATTTATTTTATATATTTAAATGCCATTTAACAAAGAAAAATCAACCAAAAAAATGAGTTCGCGTGTCACCTCTGACATGCGTGTCATAGGTTCGCCATCACTGGGCTAGCAGCACACCATCCCTACATCTTTCTCATTGCATTGTTACTCAAGTTTAGTGGAAATAAAGTTTCACTGCATTCTTGCACGCTACCCCGTCCACTCCTCTCTCTCTGTTCACAGTCTATCACCAGGGGATGTTTCCATGTGGATCACACTGTGCCCTTAAATGGAATAAATGTTTGGCTGCTCTTATTATGGCAAACCTAAGGCACAGTAAAGACATTCAGAATATACAGAGAAATATATTTCATCGCAAGAATACCTTACCCTCTGAGTAGAAAAGAAACACACTTGAATCTAAAATGTGGCCAAGCCCGCCCTGCTGTTTCCTTTCCCCTCAAGAAAATCCATGGAATTTGTCGCCCGGCCAGCATCATTTGGAAACAACACTGCATTCACACTGGACCATGGCTGACCGGATGCGTCCTTAGAACCATACCTGAAATCTTCCGTTTCGTTAGGGCGGCCCTGTAGACCGGCTGGCTCTGGCCCCGCGAGTTCAGGGACTGCAGGGAGACCACGTACACCGACTCGGAGGCTGTGGATGAGGCACAGGCAGTGAGGCTCTGCGGCTGGTTTCCCGGACACATCCCTCTGTCCTCGGCCCTCCCCCTCTTCTTCCGGACAACTAAACTCAAGAAGAACACTCTTATGGTAGGATACGTGGAGGTGATTTTCACCTGTAATTCCTGGAAAATGGGTTTCTATCTCATCAGCATCAAAGAAAGATGAATAAGGTTTTAAAAGGGATGGGATTGCTTATATGCCCACTTAAGTCCCCCAATTTCCTTTTATTTCTAAATAGAGAAAGGGTGACTCTGTCTTTAGCTGTCATCAAACAGAAGGGCAGCCACAGTGCCCGGTCAGCGCCTGATGGAGGACTCACTTCAGATCCCTTAATTCCTTGGTGCCACTGACAGTGGAACCCGCCAAGTCATCAAAGGAAGAACGCTGCCATTTATCTCCCGATCCAGGGACGTGCATGAATGGCTAAGCCTGGAGGGCGGTGGCCCAGCATGGACCAAGAACCACCAGAGTCCGGCCAGAGTGGCTCAGTTGGCTGAGTATCGTACTGTGCACCCAGAGGCTGCCGGTTCAGTTCCCGGTCAGCACATGCCTGGGTTGCAGGGACAATCGCCAGTCGGGGCGAGTACAGAAGGCAGTCGATTGACATGTCTCTCACATTGATGTCCAGGCCTGTCAACCACCAAGGCCAGCAAAGGCCAGGCCTTGACCCAGCCTGGAATGATGCACAGAACCTCTCCTGGTTACAGCGACTGTCCCCTCAGCATCCACGGCCAGTGCTTCCTCCCCCTAGTGAGGGTTTGCGAAGAGGGAGGACAGCAGGCCGGTTTGCAGGCTTCATCAGCGGCCCCCACATTTCATCTCACGGGGACCCAAGGTCCAGGGTCCTAGGATCTGAGGCAGAGCTTAAGGAGCAAAACGGTGAAAGCAGAGCCAAGAGGCAGAAAGCATGAGCGCCCATCCCGTGTCCAGGAAAAGGGCCCAACTCCAGGGCTTGTGCTGCAGGGTCAGGAAGCAGCTGCCGGGCGAGCACGCAAAGGCGGCCGTGTCCTGCGCTGACTGCAGGTTAAAGGGATGGAGGCACAGGCGGAGGGCAGGACAGAGAACATGATTCTGAATAACTATAATACCTGGAAAATAAACATTACAACTGAACTAGGACATCGGTCATGAACGAGCTCCTAAGTACGAAACGATGGGAAAGATCATCAAATACTGAGCACCAGTTACCATTCAACTCACCCAGCTTTTTGATCTCATGCGTTCGCTCATCTCGTGTCAGTGGAACGTAATTCATCTTCCGGCCACTTTCCCCGTAGCCCAAAAGGAAACCCCGGGATCTGCGTGGACTCTTGGCTCCAGACAGGCGTGGCGCCTTCCACGCAACGGACAGCCGGTTGTCTGAGGATCGGACTCGGACACGCAAGGGCTTGTTTGGCACTTCCTTTTCTTAAAGAAGACACGACACAGAAACTATTAAACAGTATACCCTCGGAGTCCACCAGCGGGTACGTGAAGTCTGTCTAGAGACTGAGCCACAACAATTAAGCAGCTGGATTTAAAACATCCATTTTGGTAACCAATTCCAGAAAGAACATTGTCCCCCCAAGGGCACCGACCCTGGGTGCACATGTTCCTCCCATATTTCAGGCCGAGAGGCCTGAGGACTTCAAATGAAAACATACCATGCATGAGACTGCCATCCAGAAGTCTTGGGTGTTTTACAAATGCTCTTTTTCATCTACTTCCTTTTGCCCCTTTAAGTCCAAAACTATATATTTCTGGTGAGAGCTAGAGGTCAGCATAACAATACAGCGAGCACACAGTAGGTGCTGCTATAGCTGCCCTACAGGAAGCCTTCTCGTTGTAAAGCTGGGAAGGGCTTTCCTGGCCTTTGCGGTGAATCACTCCGGCCCACATAGTAACTGGCTTCTGGTTTTGATCTTAATTCTTCTGACATGTCTAATCTGTCCTCCAGACAAACCTGGGCCTGCCCCACCATTGCTGCCATCTCAGTCTCCGCTGTTCCTTCTTCTAAATTTTGAGAAATCCTCTTGCTAAAATGATCAAGCTCAAGAAACACTCATTGTTAGCTTTCTCAAAGCAACACACTCTGGGGGCCAGTACTTAGTGTTTAAAGCTTTGCTTTTACATCGATGAAGAACTGATAAGTTTGGGAACAAGGGCCACAGACCACGTGACGACTACATTGTCCAATGCTGACGGTGGACCACCTCCTAGTCATATTTGGGGATCCCATTAGGCCACTGAGAGAATCTCTAGTTATGTAAGCCAGGGACTTCCCTGGCATTCTTCCTCCATTATAAACATTAACCCCACCATCAATGCTGCCTAATTCTATTCGACTGGAAAATTCCCAGGAGGCTACGATGTAAGAACACAACCTGATGCCACGGGTATGAAACCAGTGACGCAATAAGTACATCAGTAGCCATGGGAGATGGCTCTTCTGAAAGCGGTACACCCTGTTCAGTGTTCCGCATCCGCCAAAGGGAATACCCCTTTGGACATTAGCTGGGGTTACCTGGCCAGTCCCTGGGCTTCCCATTCCTGAAGCTCCTCACAGCGTGCCACGGAGTGGTCCCGCAAACATTTCCCCACTCTACCAAGTAGGACTTAGTAAGGTTTTTGGTTTTAAGTCCAATCGTGTAGCCAATGGGCCGCCTGTATACAACTCTCCTCGCACCTGCGAGGGTAGCCACTTTCACTGGGTTCTGTGAACTGATCTCAGTTTTGTGCTCAGGTTCCAAGGTGAGCTCTCACTTCCAAGGTGTGGCTTCTGTAAAAATCAAGGACCTCCAACTGATTCTGGGAATGACAGGTATGCTCATTCACATTGTTCAAGAGAAAAAGTCCCTTCCCCATCCTGGGCTATCCGTACCATCAGACATCTTTCATGGATCTGTTACAGCCATCTGGTAACCCTCTTTCAAGCGGATGTGCACACTAAGAAAAACTATCCTCGTAGAGGCTCCTGAAATTTTCTAATAAATCCCAGTGAGTCTTTTATCTTGAAAACAAAAGTCACAACTGCCGGGAGCAACCCCGTTCTCCCGAGTGGACTGCCGAGTGGACTGTGACGTGACAGGACGCGGGACCTCCACCGCTCTCGCCACGTCACCATGTGGACCTCACTCAGAACCGGTTGATACCACTAATTACAGCCGTCCACTCGGAGGGTCAGCAGAGGAAACAAGGGCCGTCGAGATCAGAGTAGACTTCAGAAAGCCAGACACCCATGTCTCCTAGGTTGTGTTGTCAGCTACACAAACTGGCAAATACTCTTAAACTGTACAGAATCAAAACCTGTTGATTGAAAAAAATCCCAAATTCAACACGATGCTTTGTCCACTTAGGTTTACAATTTGGTGCCCGTTAAACTTGGCAGCTTCTGGTTTGGGCTCCACAGGCTCTCAGGTCGGGTCCCAGTCTGTGGCCCCCTGTCTGCGTGACTGTGGCTCCCGCTGACCCTCATTTCCTCCCTTGGAGAGCGGTGTGTAGCGTATTGTGTTTGTAATATAAGTCACGTAAAGCATATGTGAAGCACACATTCATTGCTAATTGTGGTTGCGATTGTGATAAAAAACAAAACCCCTCATCAGATTCACTGGATGTGTGTGCAGCCCTCCCAGAATGGAACCCAGGGTCCCATTACAGATTCTACCACAATGCCTTGCACACAAGGGACACTAAATACATGTATTTCAAAGAACCAAGCATGAGAGAAAGAGATACTTAGTGTCACAGGTTTTTACAGTAAAACCTCAAATATGAGCTTGTCTGTACCCAGAAAGCTTCTGTGCACCGTACACTGAGAGAGCTGTGTATTGTCTTCATCAACCCAGCAGTTATCGGTCGCTCTAGCGAGTCCCTTCCTACTCTTCGTTGGCGCGAAGATGAGTACTCGGCCATCATCTCCTGGGCCCGGTCTCAGCTGACAGGGCCTTCTCATTCTCCAGCAGAGTGTGAGGTGTCATTCGGTCCACAGCTTTGAAGAATAAGCGGTTTGACCCTCTCACGCCCTTGACACCCCACTGCACTGACCTCCAAGCTGTGCAAAGAGGGCCTGGATCCTCACCTCCTGCAAAGGCAGGCCCACGTGCTCACTGGCCTTCCGCTCGCCCATCCTCAGCCCCAGGCAGCGTCCCCACCATCCTCAACATCAAGGCTCAGGGCCACCAGGGACACTGGCTGTGGGGCAGGGGGCGCCCACCCCCGAGGCTGAGCGGTGGTCCTCACACTGCAGCGTGCGTCACGATCACCTGGGCGGCTTGAAACCACGCCCTGGGCTCCCACCTGTCGGGCCAGGCACCATTCCAGAGCTTAGTGCACTCTGCATGAATCAGCAGAGGAGGAAGAGGGGAGTGGGAGGGAGTATGAGTTGGAGAGGGTGAAGGTGATCGGTCACAGCCAGAACACAGGACATGTGCTTTGCTGTCCCCACTCAGAGTCTGAATTCCCTGCCCCGGACACGAGCCCAGGCCCAGAGCTGACTGACAGCTGCCAAGGTGGGTTAGCAAATGCCTCCCACCTCTGTCGCCAAGGGCTCCTTCCCGGGCGAGTTCTGACACGTGCCCCTTGAGACCTTTGTGACTCTCAAGAAGTCCCTCCCATGCCCAGCACCTGGAACTTGGAAGCCGGACAGGTGGGCCCTCGGCTGGCGTGGAGCTGGGTGTGCAGTCCCCCCGCGCCGCTCCTGTGTGGAGCCCCCGCTGTGCTGTGGCATGGCATGTGCCTGCTCTAGAAGGAGGTACCCGGTGCCTCACGGACGCCTCTGGCAAAGGATCTGGTCTGTGGCACCTGGAGTCACCGTCCAAGACTTCCGTGCCACGGATCCCCACTTACAGGAAACGTCGGCTAAGTTCCCCGGGGCCTGGAGCTCCTCAGGGGAGGTCATCCACATGTCCCCTCAGATCCACCATTGCTCGTCCCCTGACAAGTGGTCATGCTGCAGGGTCCCAAGGCAAGACCATCTGAGGAAGAGCCTGGTCAGCCATGCGATGGCCCGGCTGCCCGACTGTGGGGAGCAAGAGCAGAGCGGACTCACTGGACGCCTTTGACCATCCAGCGTGGGCTCACTGTAGCCATGACAGTTACGTCAAGTGCCGTGTCAAGACTGAGATCATGAGATGGGGCCCTGAGGAAGGGCCCAGAACACCAAACCACGGTCTGGATACTTGGATCAGGACTCCATCTGGACACCAATGTGCGGGAACCCCCACCCCCACTCAGAGCTCAGCCATCCAGCGCTTGAGTGTGGCTGTACCAGGGTCACACTAAAGCCCTGCCGGACTCGCACTGCATGGGCCGGGCCGCCACGGCCACTACACCCACTTCTGCACCCGCGGACACAGCCCGTGGCCAGGACTCCGCGCCGGCAGACCTGACTGTAAACAGGTCATCTTCATAGCCCAGGCAGCCCCGAGGAATTCCAGTCCTCAGCTGCAGTCAGCGCCACTCCTCACCAGCCCCTCCAAGTGACCAGAGGCAAGAATTAGGACCTCATTTGAAGGAGAGCACCGCTCAGTGGCGGACAACCTGGCCTGCCCGGGACCACCCCAGCATCAGCAGCTGGCCGACAGGTGACCCTGACCTCTGACCCGGCCCTGCCTCGCTCAGCACCCGGCTCTGGCCCACACACACTCGCCCCGCGGGGCACACGCGGAGGAAGCAGCCTCCGACGCCTTTCCACCGAACACGTATTGAGCGCGTGCCACGAGCTTGTCCCAGGCCCGGGAGGCGGAGATGAGTGAATCTAAGAGACCGGCCCTTGAGGGGCTCACCATCCAGGCATGGACCGGAAACGGAGTTTTGCTCTGCAAATTGCATACTTAATAAAACTTAAAATTGCACAAGGAAATAATGCCACAGACAGTATTCATTCCCCATTGGCCGAAGGCCTTAATTAAACTCTGTGAAAAGAGGACACCGTCTGATTGGTAACTGGGCACTCAGCGGCCCCATGACCTGGCCCCAGGATTAGCTGAGGATGCCCTGAGGCGGTGGTAGTAAAACTGCATATGGTCCCAATGAGGCTACAGCTTCCCAGGGAAGAGCTGGGCGAAGACAGGCGAACTGGCAGCCCATGGCCTTGCCTGTGGGAAGCAGAGTGGGGCCTTCTGGCCCCGCCCCCCTGCCTGTCTCCGTGCGTAACAGATTAGCTCAGATCCAGGGACAGGAAAAAGCTAACGCAACTTCAGAAGAGAAGCCTGCAGGGAGGTCAATAATGGGATCCAATACGTGACACCTCTTCCCTGGGGACAGAACAAAGGGATGTGGCTGTACATCTCAAAGGGAGCTGTGTGCGTCTGTGCGAATGTTTACCTGTGTGTCTTCAGGGTAGACAACCTCTGAAATAGACTTCCTGGCCCATTTACACACGGCCACGGTGTGCTACCTTCTGACTGTCTCACTACCACTGTCTTCCAAGCTCTGCTCCTCGCCTTCTGCTCATCTCTCCTAACCCTCGCCCCCTCATGTACCATCTCTCCTTCAACTCTCACTCCAGCGTGCCTCCTAAAGCCATGTCTGCCTCTGACTTCTCTCTTCCAACGTTCATTCCCTCCTCTGCAGCTGCTACAGGCATCCCCGGCACAACGCCCCACGCTCACCTTCCGTCCGGCATATTTGAAGAACGTATCACCTCTCCTCCACAGCCCGTTTCCTTTTCTAATGTTTTATTCCGCCCTCCTTTTCCATGTAAAAGGACTGTGAATGCTGCCCACACCCGCCAAATCTTAACTGAGAAGCAGATTAGAGTCATTGGTTTGAATATACTCACCTTCCTCTCAATAGCGTAAGGTTGATGTATTTAAATACATGGTTTATGAAAATAAGACACACTCCTCTCCCTGTGGCCTCAAGACAGTAGCCAATATACTTGAAAATAACTGCATGCATTTTGCATCATTAACTAAATATATTCAAAGAACACACAGAAATGTCAACACTTCTCTCAACAAGTAAAACCACATGATTAGACAACATCAACATCCAAATGATAAAACATACATATACAAATATGGAGCAGAGATGGAAGGCAGGTCATCTAACATGTCACCAACTAGCCCATGGTTTTACGAAAAGAAATACTTGATGCAGCATATTAGCCAATAAAAGCCACTGTTTGGTGGTCCCATCTGCTCATGCCGTCCACAGGTCACAGAGCTGCAAACATCCCCATCAGGCCAGGACTGCCATCTCCGCCACCACATTTGCCTGTTAATAGCACAGGGTACCCCCAGATGTAGACACAGACACCTCCCCACACCAGGACACGAGGGAACAGTGAGAAATGAGCGACACTGGCTGCGGGCTGGTCCATTGGGTGCACGGCAGATCGACCAACACTGTGGCGTGTGCGTTAGTTCAGCGATGGGGACTGGATGAAGGTTTGTGAGCACATGTGTGTGACAGAAGCGCGACCCTCTTGCGAGACGGTGCTTCAGTGAAGACATGAACCGGATGAGCAAATAGTACCTGTGACGGTTTCATTAAATGGTCCTGGACCCTTAATGGGGGAACCATCAATCTGGATCCATTCACCTCCTAAATTAGGAAAATGCAACCTGATAGTTAGAAACGAGAACCAGAGGAGCTTCCACATTTAGAGCATCCCTAACTGTTCAGAGCATCCCTAACATTGCTCTAAATGGCCTTTTCAACAGCTTGAAAGGGATCGCCTCGGGCCATTTTAGTGACTGAGCACCTACGCTCTATGGACAACACATCCTTTTAGTCTTTTGCACATGGCTTATTCTAGTGAGCACTCAAAAGTTTAGGACAAAACGCTAACAACCTATATTAACTGACTATGAAAGGAGGGATAAATCTCTCCTAGTTGTTAGTCTGTCAGCTTTTTCTACAAATCTAAAAATACCGTTGTTCAGGAACTCTTTAATGATTCTAAACTTGTACTGACATGAAGAAGCAGGGAGGGACGTTTCTCCCAATCTTAGTAACAGAAACACAGCCTCCAGTTCTAGGTGAGACTTACCAGGCAGGCTTTCCGCTCTGTACACGGGCCGGCTCACTCCACTGTGGTTTTCTGCAGTAACCAGCACAAAGTACACTACCCCCGGCTCTGAAACACACGGTTCGTATCAAGCCCCGTTTCAAATCTCCAAGAACGACAGTTTGATTCGCTGTCTTCCTTATACCAGTTACAACCAAATATAAATATTTGAATTTAGTGACAAGTCTACCTATAGCTTTCTCTCTTTATTTTTAATCAAAATACTAACATTCCTCCCATGCAACTGAAATACACCTGGCCAGAGAACACAACATTTATTTATTACAAAGTACATGGCATGTGAAATAAACCTGGATTTGTGAGCAGTCAACAAGAAAGCTTTTAAGCCTTTTAATGTGACATCAATGTAGGAAGTAGGAACACACTGTCCACTAAATCCATGTTTCAACCTACCGTGTCCGTAACTACAAACAGTATTTCCTCATGAAAACCCCAAATGGAAAGCTTCAAAAAATAATTAGAAAATGTCAACATAACTCATAAAATTTAGCACCTGGGGAATCTTCACTGCAGTCAAGAAAGCTGCATGAAATATGTTCCTTCTCATAATTAAACAGTCCCCTTGCCCTAGCTCAGTGGTCAGCAAACTGCGGCTTGCGAGCCACATGCGGCTCTTTGGGCCCTTGAGTGTGGCTCTTCCACAAAATACCAACTTCTGTGCATGGGCCACGAAGTTTCAATCGCACTGTACGTGTGCGCCCGCACGTGGTGTTTTGTGGAAGAGCCACACTGAAGGGGCCAAAGAGCCGCAGCTTGCCAACCACTGCCCTAGCTGGTTTGGCTCAGTGGATAGAGCGTTGGCCTGCAGACTGTAGGGTCCCAGGTTCGATTCTGGTCAAGGGCACATGCCTGGGTTGCAGGCTCGATCTCCAGTAGAGGGCGTGCAGGAGGCAGCTGGTCAATGATTCTCTCTCATCACTGATGTTTCTATCTCTCTCTCCCTCTCCCTTCCTCTCTGAAATCAATAAAAATATATTTAAACAGTCCCCTTGCTGTGTCTGCATGTGGTCTTTGACTCTTCCAACAAATACCTAGAAAAATACTTCCTGGAATCTTGGAAATGCTAATCTTGAAATAATTGGGCTTCACTTTCTGACTCGGATCTAGGGGTCAAGGTCACACGGCAGTGGTGTCTTTGGCTGAGCTGCTGGAGTTGTTGGGATGCGGAAGGGAACCCAGACACCAGGTTAGGACATGAGTGCCTTGAACTTGCTGCCTTGAAAGCAAAACTCTAGTGCTGCTGGTTTTCCTCGAGATGAATTATTATCTTAAGGAAGTGGAGGTGCCAGCCCTTGCACAGCTGGAAGCCGGCAGGCATTGGAGGGGATGGACGTTGGAGAGGTTAGAGTTAGTTCCATCAAAGGCCATTGTGGTATGTGCATTCCTCAGAGTGAGGAGCGTTCCCCTAACGGCTTCAGTGCTCCAGCCAGAGGCCCAGGATACAGCCACAAGGCCGTACCATTGGGGACACCTGCTGTCGGGACTGGTATGGCTTCTTTCTGACCGTGGCAGGGGCTGGTGGCATTTCAGGTTTGGCACGACCTGCCGGACTAATTGGGAAATGCTTCAGGTTCGGACTGAATGTAAAATTATGCTCTGCCAGGCACTTTCCTCTCTTCGTCCTGAGCTTATTTTTATTTCAAAGACATTTAATCCACGTCTCTGCTTCCGTTAACTTATCGGAGTTGCTTGGGAGACACTGCCTCTCAGTGAGCCCCAAGTCTCTCCGTTGGCATGTTTTTCTTCTCTGCGGCCACCAGAACAACCCAAGCTCTGAGCAAGCAAATGTGAGCCTGCACTTGCCTTTGGTCCAATAGAACCTCCACTTAACCCACAGTTGGACTCTGTGGGGCCTGGGGGATGTGGGAGAGATTCAGAGAAATGTATGGAACCATGAGGGAGGAATCTGACCCCCTGCCTCCCTTCCATGCACCTTCTGCCCCGATGCCCAGAAAGCCTGATGCTGTAACTCAGAGCGGAGAAGGGACGTGTGGTAGGCTGTGGCCAGGACACTGGGGAGCACTGTTGATTCCGATCCTCTGAAGGAAGGCGGCAAAACGCTCCTGTGGCTCGGGGACACCTGGATGTCACACTGCTGACTTCCTCATGATGCTTCTTAGGGTTGGGCCATGAGATGACTGGAGAGTACATGGAGCTGCAGGCTCCTGGGATCAAAAGGGCAGAAGACAGAGGACCCACAGGAGGCAACCCAAAGCTCACGTTCAAAACCGTCTGCACCTGCACTTGCACAATGTATTTGGGCAAAATTTAAAATACTCCGAACTTCCAGAATGAATTGCATGGGGAGAAATGTAACATCTTTGAACAGATGTGGCTAAGCATACACACCTTTATGGGGACATGTCACCTGAGAAATCCCTAATTATAAAATGGTTCATAACTGAGAAATCTCCAGATTAGTTGTCTAGTAGTCAAGTGTCCATGAGACAAAAAAAGCACATTCAGAAAACTAAAAATTGTTTCCAGCATCAATTGGGAGAGAGGCCCAGGAACACTAGAGTTTAAGTGTAGGGCAGGAAGGCCCATGGCAGGATGAAGGCCTTGGCGCAACAGATTCACGCCCCTGGCTTCCCGTTCCCAAGGAGCCGCGTGAGCCTGGCCACACCCTGGCTCACAGTCACCTTAGAGCGGAACTGGGAGCGAGGTGCACAGTCAGTTCTGATGGGAACAGGAGCGGAGGGTCACTTACCCACATCCTCAATAAGGAAGGACTGCGTCTCCGCGTTCACCTTGATGTACTTAAGGCTTTTCAGTGACTTCCCGTAGGCAATGTTGTAATGCTCCACGGGCCTACTGGTGGCATCTTTGGGTGGGTCCCACGTGACTTTCAGGCCCATCTTAGTGGACAGCAGTTTCACGTGCCTTGGCTTCAGTGGGTGGTCAGCTATGCAGACAGCGCAACTATCAACTGACGGGAATGGCAGGCGGGGAAAAGGCACTTTCCAATGTTCTCTGACATTGTTAGCAAGACAGCGAGTGGCTTTTACTCTGATCCTTTAGACTTTAAGCGCGGGCGTGTTTGGACATCGTTACAGTATGACAGCAACGCAAACATACCAAACCCACAAGCTTTGAAGTGTTTCGGATGACTGTGGGTGGTAAGTTTGAACCAGAGTGAAACAAACCGAAAGAAACCCTGGGCCTCCTCCGCCTGCTGATGTTGCCTCGCTGGTGCTAGAATAATGAATCGGTCATTTGACATCTTCCCCAGAGGCGTTCAGTGACTTCTTATCGTTAATAAGTACGTTGCATGGCGCCGTTACACAGCCTATGCATCGCCTCTGAGGAGAATGACCTGGAACGCTCCTGACCGGGAAGAATGTGCACCGCATCTGAAATGAGGCAGCAGAGGCACTGGCTTCTGCAAATACAACGAGCCAGAGCCGCCACCTGAAGAGGTAGGCGCGCCTCTGGTTTTGTCTGCAGGCAGCGAATTTAAGTGTTTCCTGTTTTGTCACAGAGGAAAACCAAGTTATTAAGAAGGACATTACACTTTTATCTTCAGTGGTGAGGTTATAAAAAATTTTTTTCTTAATTTTTGAAAATTAGCCAAAATGAAACACAATATGTAACTGATGTCGCAATGCCACATAACATAAATATATGCTAACAATTCACACAACAGTCCAATTTGGAGCAAACTGGGATCTGAAACTGATTATTCAGTGATGCAAGGCATTCTCAGGGGGTGGAGAGGGAGTAAAAATAAAAAGCCAGAACCCTTTAAACTTAAGAAAAATGAATTTGGACACTCATGGAAGGAGAAAGGGGAGGGAGAGCGTTTGGTGATGACACACAGGGTGGTTAGTATGTGTTTTAATACCGGATGGAAATCCTGCACAGGGTAAGTACGGCTGATTCTATACCCTTCACGTACTCTTCCCACAGCTGCCCGACCGCCTCTAGAGTAAAACATTTAGGAAAGAACTCCTGTGGCCTCCCTGCCAGAGAAACTCAAGGAATAAAAAAAAGAAAGAAAGAAGTTATGAAAATGATTTCAAAGCATCAGGGACAGGAAGTGCCGCGTTGGAGCCGAAAGCGCGATGTCGGGCTGCGGGTGGAACCCACAAGCGGTCCCTCCCCGGCCTCAGCGGCGAGGCCCTGCGGACCGTGATGGGAGAGGCCAGACGAGGACGCTGCTAGGGACACTAGGAGGACAGCAGGGCAGTGGTTTCTGGGCTTGGAAGGTGAGCGGCCACGGCTACTCTCCATTCGCTCTCGCGGACCCTTCCTGGCCCATGAGGACCTGCAGGCTTTTCTGCCGGAGAACAGGGCTTCCCCTTCCTCGGTCCCCTGTGTCTCCCCTGAGGCTTCCCTACAAACTCCACCTTCTCTGCCACCTGCCGACTAACTTTTCTAGTTGCCATGAATCCCTATTTCCCGGAACAGCAGGAATCGCTCCAGGAATCCCGTGCTCCACACCCACCCAAAGACCGTGGAGACAAAGCAAGTCTCGGAAACCACAAGGCGATTCTCCCGGGAAGGAAACGAATGAATGCGCGAAGAGCGCTTCCTTTACGGTTCAGTTCCCAATCTCCCTAAGCAACGGTGGCCCACACTCTGCAGTGAGCCCCCCCCCCCCCCCACGTTCTCTACTGGGCAAGTGTGATCCAATCCACGCACAGCGGCCTGGGCCTGAAAACCAGCCACTCTTATCACCGACATCGGGCGGAAGAACACCCTGTCCATGCACGCAGGGGTCTCCCCGGCAATGCTTTGCATCTACCCTGGGACACGACATAGAATTTCTAACTCACACGAGAACGCACGCTGTAATGGTTGCATCAGCCCAGCGTCAGGAGAGATGCAGAATCTCAGGGCTGCAATAAGATGAACAGAGGAGGGCAAGGAGCAGCCGCCAAAACCTAATGACTGTCAGTTCATCCTGCTTACCCGCCAGATCTCCATGTGTGTCCACAAGTGAGTTTGTTTGTTCTCCTCTTTTTATTTTTTATGTTTTTTAATCCTCACCCGAGGATATTTTTTCCATTAATTTTTTTTTTAGACTGCAGGAGAAGGAGAGAGGGGGAAGAGATAGAGAAACATCGATGTGAGAGAGACACATCGACTGTTTGCCTCCCACGTGCACCCCAACTGGGCCAGGAATCGAGCCCACAGCCGAGGTACTTGCCCTTGACAAGAATCAAACCCGAGACCCTTCAGTCCTTGCGCCGACACTCTAACTACTGAGCAACCGGCCCAGGCTATTCTCCTCTGGCCAGTGGTCAAGTACCATCAAGCAGCATCTCAATTCCATACGTGCCTGCACCAGCATTCGAACATACTTTTAAAAAGCCGGATGGTGTAAAACTACACCTAGTATTTAAAAATGGGTGTGTGAAATGGACAGGAAAAGGGGTCTTACTGCATGCCTACCACTTGCCACCCACTCAACCTTACGTGGCAGGCGGTGCCCACAACACAGGCGACCTGCGAGGAGCTGTTGACCCCCTCGTGCTGCAGGTGAGGAAAGCAGGGCCTGCAGCAGGAGGTGATAACTGCCCAGAGCCACACGTGGCACCAGACAGGAGCCAAGGCCACTGCTGCTGTGCCCAGCTCCCACGGCTCACAGGCCTCCCGCCTGTCCCTGCTCATAAAGGACCGGTGACTACATTCCCTGAATATGAGTTAAGCTAGGAAGCCACTGCCCTCCTAGAACCAACTGGGAACCCTCCGTGGCTGTGTGACCACGTCCTCCACCATCTACCCCGCCTTCCCACGCCACTCTCCTCTCTTGGGGGCACTCCTGCCCCCAGCCCTAGTCACCTCCCCTGTGCTGGTGCCCTCGCCCCTCCTCTCTGGAATACATGGCGTCCATGACTCATGCCCTCTCAGGGATGTCTGCATCTTACAGCAAAACCTTAGCCCGAGGCATGACTTCCCAACAGGAGCGTTTGAGGCCTTACACAGTGACCCGGTGAAGGCTGATTTTGAACACAGAGGCCTTTGGGGGACCCTGAAATCATACCTTCAGGGCAACCTTGGGGTCAGTCTCCTTGTAAGATCAGTTCTGAATGTGAGGTTCTCTGAGGTCCTTAGGCCAATAAACCCCCACACCTCCTCTCGCCATAACCCCAGCACACATGAACTAGCCAAGTAAAAAGACACCACAGTGACTTGTGTAGCAGGTGTTTTCATACCCCGGATTCCCACTGACTTTGATATTTCAGATTGATATCATGATTAATGCTTCCTAGTGACTGTCATCGTTGCCTTACTCAGAAAGGACTGGACGAGAAGAGGAAGGACCAATGTGCATGAACTTGGATTCCGAAAGCTTATTCTTGGGGCTAGAAACATGACAGTATGTTCTACTCCCAGTCATACTGTGTAGGCCTCGTGACCTCATCCCTTAAATGTGAAGTGAAGGCATAAGGAGATGAAGTTGGTTTCAGGGGCTGCGGGATGCGTGCTGGGTTCTGTTATGGGATCCACACTCTGGGAGCTAAAGGTGAACAACATGGTTCCTTACTATGCTCAAGTGTCCTCAGAAACTTACAACAGGCCACCCTCTCTGCTGGACAAACGAAGCCCATGACCTTCTGTGTTCGGCATTCTCATTTTTCAGCATTCTGCAAAGCTCTGTTCCCATGAACAGCCACTCTACAGATAAAAAGGACAAACCCAGTCAGGGCCACAGGAGTTAAAGGCCCAATAGAGAGGTCACTGGGGGTCCCTCACAGCCCACATGACAGGTTAGGGCCCTGGCAAGCGGTGTTTTTACCTCCACGGGATGGAAAGTGAGGAAATGAGCTTCAGCTGCAGCAAAGGGATTTGGGGTGAAGTAAAAAGAATTTCCTGTCCGTGTCCTCCCCCCACCCCCCGCCCCCAAGGCTGTCTTTGATGGGGACAGATGCCGAGGTGCTCCAGACAGAAGGAGGAAACCACTGGGTCTGCTGTGGCTCAGGCCATTTCATCCCATGACAGAGGCATTGCTATGCTTCATACAAGTGACCTTTATCCACATTCAACAATATTTTGCCAGGTGCCGAGTGGCAAGATGATATTCTGGTGACCTTTCAGATACCTGGCAACTGCCAAGCAAGACAGCTGCATGCCATGGCTCCCATGAGGCCTCCTCTGGTCTGCTGGGGAACTAGGCCAGCGCCTAGTTTTCACTCTGACCCAGCTCCAAACTCCAGGTCTTATCCACGCAGGCCACTTGGGTTCAAGGTCAAAGTATGGGTCTGCGTCTACTCTAGGATTGAAACCAAGATTCCAGTGGCTCTGCAACATCTGTCCTCAGAGGATCCTCGGCTTCTGCAGAGTGGCCTCAAGGGGTCCTCCAAGGCTGACAGTGCTCTCAGAAGCCTGAGTCCAGAGCTAAGTCCCCAGGGCCAGCCTGGCCTGACCAATATCATCATGGCCCATGCATCATGGTAGACGGGGGCACATACCTCACCTGCCCCTCCCTCATCTTTACACTCTGGCATCTCTCTTGGCACCCAGTATGCCCGAATATCCGGTACTCACGTAAAATGCCGATGGATTCAAGAGAAAAAAATGTTAGGAGGATTTAGACCAGTGAGGTCAACGGAGGGTCTCCAACCCAAGGACCAGAAAGATCAAGCAGATGAGTGAAGACATATCAAGGCATGTGCACTCCATCGAGAGGCATGATTTCGGTTTTTAGGCACCTTTGACAAATACCTCATGGAGGGGATAGACTAAGGGATGAGGACAGATGCAAGTTTCCTAATATCCCAGCAGGCTGTGCCCTGACACCACTGGGCATGACCATCCACCTGAGGTCCTGTCGTGTCTTCCCTTCAGAGCGAGGACCAGGACCACCTGCCTCTTCTTCCGGGGCCTCCCCAGTCTTAAGCACTGACCTGCCAAGTATCTTCCTGAGGTTATGGGTGGGGTTCCCCTCCCCGCCCCCAG